TGGGGTGGAGGCAGTGCCCCCCCCCGATGGGCCCTGATCTTTGTCAGGATCGGGGCAGCGCCTGGCACAGCAGGGCCTAGTCTGGGCCAGGAAGGGTGTTTGCTGCACAAGCTCTAATTTATAATGTTAACCAACGGTGCAGTGTAAGTGATGAACTGAGTAATGTTTTAAATGAGATTGGACAGTGGATTATAATAATTAGTTACTAGGAATTAGAGGCTGCACCTGGTAAACAGCAGCCGTGTCAGTTCTAACAGTAGAGGACAAAATACCCCCCCCCCCCCCCCCCCCCCCAGAGAAATGACCCATTTGTCACTTGCCTGAGTCTGGTCTTGCTGCTGTTGGCCGGTCTCCTCGCCTGTCCCTCCGGGAGCTTTTCCTCGCCCCGCTGCCCATCAGACCCTCTCGTGGGCCAGGCCCCAGCCCGCGTAGGCCCATCCAGCCCGGATCAGCCTCCACGGCTCATGGGGGCACCATTTCCCATCTGCACTGCCCGGCCAGGCCAAGATCCCCTCCTCGCCTCTAGAACTGGTGCCCCCACCCTTCCCCGAATTCGTTCCCTCCAGGCCCCAGCACCCCTAGACTCCCCTTTTCTTTCCAATCCCGGTGAGATCCGCTGCTCTGCCCCTGCATTCGCAGCCCTACCTGTGCAGGCCTGATTACTGCCCTGCAGTTCTGACTTGTCGCCAGGAGCCGGCCTCCGACCACGGCTCACGCTTCTCCCTCCTCTTGCCGTGCTCTGGCTCTGAGCCTCACTGAGCTCCCCCTTTCCTGCTGGGGCGCCGGCGTCAGGCTGGCCACTGGCTGTTCCCCTTTGCCAAAGCGATCAATTGCTGCTCGGCTGTTAATTATTAATGCTCTGTTGTCGCGCACGGATTGCGCAGGTAACGAACTGCAATGAGCCGTGTTCCTTGGAAGGAGTCGGTTTTGATCAGTGAATGTCCATTTCTCACACACACGCATACCTGCCGATAACTGAAATGCCCAGATGGGCAAAGGGAAGCCAACGCTGCTTGGGGAATGGAGCGGAGCTGGATTTGCTTTGTACAAGGGAATGCTCACACCCGGTCAATGATTACAGCCCGCCCCTTCCCGCGCCAGGGAATACTGCAACCAGTAAGTGTTATGAGCTGTCAAAAATTAGATAAACGCAAATTGTCAATCCTAATTACACATTCACCACTAGTTACCGCTCACGAGTGAGTGTTAATTAGTGCTATGCATTCTCCTGACTGTAGAACCTAGTTGTGGCTCCTGGATGGTAGTTGGTCAACGGTTATAGCCTGGTGAAAGCAGGCTGGGTAAAAATCGGTAGGTGCTTGGTGGGTTAAGCAAAATGAACCAGATGAACGAATGCAGCAGAGATGAACTAACAGAAACAACAAAGATAAACCGTGAACGGGGAAAGTTCTGTGGCCAGTTAGAAAAAGTGAAAGATAACTTGGCCCAGATTGTGACGGGAAGGGAGAGAAAATGCGGAACAACGGAGTGAATGATCCTGGAGGGGGATAATTCACTGGATAGAAATTCGGAGCAGGTGAAAGCAATGTAGCGGAGGGCCCAACTTTTCAGTGATGGGAAATTAACCCATGGAGTTAAAGGTCCATTTGACTGGGGGGGCTGAGAGATTTTAATTCAAAAGTCACTCCGGACCTGCCCCCCACTTCTGACCTGCAGGCCTGTTATCCCAGCCCTGGGCTGCCCCCCAAGCTATGCCAGTGCCCCTCACTCCCACCCTGCAGCCCCTCAATACGCTGACGGCCCCAACCTGCTACTGGAAAGGGGAGGGCAGCCCTCCGAAGAACGGCAAGATCCGGGCACACGTGCTCTGCCCAGGGCAGGGAGCTTGGCAGCACAGCTCCTTCTGAGGGGCTGTGGGCCCCTTTCAACACAACCCCCTGGGGCAGAACACCCCGACCCCCTGCCCCACATGGACAAAGCCATGCCCCAGCAGCGGCGAGAAGCAGGGGGCCCAGGATCAGCAGCCTGATGGGGAGAGCAGCCGCAGCCCTGTGCTAAAGGGGGGGTTAAGCCGAGCTGCACTGGAAAGTTGTTTATTTCACTCACAAAAAATTGTGTAAAAAAAGAGCCCCACCCCCAACCCACAAATACAAACAGCCCCCCCACGGGGACAGGGATGGCAGGAGAAGTGATGGGAGGGGAACCACACACACACTCCAACCTGTGAAACTGACCAGGAAGTGGGACTGAAACTGACCACATACAGACACCCTAACCCCTCCCCCCAGCCTGTAACTGATTTTACCCCCTCCCCACACATCTGTGGCCGGGTGGAAGTTCACAGTGCAGGGGGGCCCCAGGGCCAGGGTGGGAAGGGGGGGGGGGTTCCTGGGGCTCCCCTCCTGGTGGGGCGAGAAGCCGCTGGCCCGAAGGACGTGCTCGCAGTCCAAGGGAACGGAAGAAGCCGGGTTCAAAGCCCTTTGGGGCGTCGGCAGCAGAGTCAATCCGGGATTACCGGGGGGGTGATGAGGGAGCCTGGGGGGCTGCCCCAGGACAGCCCCTGCCTCCACCCCCTGGAAGCTGACGAGAAGAGGAGGCTCGGGCGAGGCCGGGAGCCACCCCTGCCAGGCGTGTCGTCCCGGGAGCCCCCGGCTGGGCCGCTGGCGGGCGGGGGCTCCGAGCACCAGGCTACGCGCGGGGCACCACCACGTACGGCTGGGGGGGGGCGAGCCGCTGGCGCTCGCTGCACGCGTGGATCCAGCGGGGGCGGACGAAGGAGAGGTTGGCGTTGGCGGGCTGAGCCTGCAGGGACGAGGGCCGGGCGGTGAGCGCAGCACCCCCGGGGCACCCAGAGCCACGGCAGAACCCAGCAGTCCCGGCCCCCCACTGTCCTCCCAGAGCTGGGGCCGAATCCAGCAGCCCTGCCCCCCGCCGCTCTAACCAGTAGACCCCGCTCCCCTCCTAGAGCCGGGGCCGAATCCAGCAGCCCTGCCCCCCGCCGCTCTAACCAGTAGACCCCGCTCCCCTCCTAGAGCCGGGGCCGAATCCAGCAGCCCTGCCCCCCGCCGCTCTAACCAGTAGACCCCGCTCCCCTCCTAGAGCCGGGGCCGAATCCAGCAGCCCTGCCCCCCGCCGCTCTAACCAGTAGACCCCGCTCCCCTCCTAGAGCCGGGGCCGAATCCAGCAGCCCTGCCCCCCGCCGCTCTAACCAGTAGACCCCGCTCCCCTCCTAGAGCCGGGGCCGAATCCAGCAGCCCTGCCCCCCGCCGCTCTAACCAGTAGACCCCGCTCCCCTCCTAGAGCCGGGGCCGAATCCAGCAGCCCTGCCCCCCGCCGCTCTAACCAGTAGACCCCGCTCCCCTCCTAGAGCCGGGGCCGAATCCAGCAGCCCTGCCCCCCGCCGCTCTAACCAGTAGACCCCGCTCCCCTCCTAGAGCCGGGGCCGAATCCAGCAGCCCTGCCCCCCGCCGCTCTAACCAGTAGACCCCGCTCCCCTCCTAGAGCCGGGGCCGAATCCAGCAGCCCTGCCCCCCGCCGCTCTAACCAGTAGACCCCGCTCCCCTCCTAGAGCCGGGGCCGAATCCAGCAGCCCTGCCCCCCGCCGCTCTAACCAGTAGACCCCGCTCCCCTCCTAGAGCCGGGGCCGAATCCAGCAGCCCTGCCCCCCGCCGCTCTAACCAGTAGACCCCGCTCCCCTCCTAGAGCCGGGGCCGAATCCAGCAGCCCTGCCCCCCGCCGCTCTAACCAGTAGACCCCGCTCCCCTCCTAGAGCCGGGGCCGAATCCAGCAGCCCTGCCCCCCGCCGCTCTAACCACTAGACCCCGCTCCGCTCTCAGAGCTGGGGCAGAACCCAGCAATTCTGGCTCCCCATTCCCCGCTTTAACCCCTAGACCCAACTCCCCTCCCATAGTCCTGGCTTCAAAGACTCCAAACCCTGAATTAAAAACACCCAAATTGCATAAACAGGTGACAAGCCCCGTGTCCCCTGCCCACACCAGGCAGGACACGTGGACCTCATCCAGGAGGGGGCGCTACTCGGCCCTTGCCCCTAGCAGCACCACAGCCGCAGCCGCTCACCTCCTCAAAGGCGTCGTCCCACTCCTGGGCCGTGACGACGTAGTTCACCCGCTCGTTCATGTAGCCCTCCACCTCCCTGTGCGGAGACGGCAGCGTAAAAAAGCACTGCCCCAGGCTGAAGGATGCAGCTGCCTCTGGGGTGGGATGGGGAGGCGTTTTAACAGCCTGCCAGTGTCAGATCACGCCTAGGACAGCGACGGGGGAAGAATCTGACCCCCCACCCAGCAGAACTGAAACCGGGTTCCCATATCCACGTCTGGGTGGAGGGAGCGGCCGCTGTGACGGCCCCAGGGCCCCACCC